AGGGACAGAGCGGTGTGGAATAAAGGTAAATTATGTGAAAAATAATGCGTTTTTTAAAAAACGAAGCATTAACACATGTTAGACTGCACCCCATAAACACAGTCAAGCCTAGAAAAAAGCCAGTGAACCACCCCTTTAATCAAACAACAAAAGAGAGAAAATCTCTCATTGCTCTTTACTAAATCACTTTTGTAACTTTAATAAGAAGAAATATATATTTAATTTACACAGTGAAGAATATTCAGTGTTTTTAGACATTTGATTACTTTATAGAGTGTATGCAGCACTTCTTATTTATTTGTTCTACTGTACTTTTTTGTCCTATTGCTTGTAATTAGTTTCTTATTCTTATTTAATCACTGACTGTTTACTTGTCTTCAGTGAGCTTGAGTTTTGTCTTTTTTTTTTTAGGCTAATATTAGTTTTAGCTTTTTGTGATATTGACACTGGTGACAAGAATTCTGAAATTTTTATGCTATAAAAATTTTTGATATCATACAGATCCTATTTAAAGCAAAAAGAACTATATCGTGATATAAACCGTTACTGTGAAATAAAATTACTCATATCGTGATATCTTGGTCAAATCACCCACCCCTAATCTCAAATATTCTATGCACCATGTAAAATACTCTCTGTAAACTCTGTCCACAGGCTTTATGTCCACTCTGCAGTGTCCAACTGGAAGAAATGCCTCCATTCAATCAAACTCAAAGACTCTGTACTGAGTTTGGTGTAAGTAGAATCCTAATGAAGTATGTACACTACCGTTCAAATGTTTGGGGTCGGTTTTTAATGTTTTTGAGAGAAGTCTCTTAGTAGTAAAAGTCTTTACTGTCACATTTGATCAATTTAATGCATCCTTGCCCAATAGAAGTATAAAAATATATTTCAGGAAAAAAAATCTTACTGCACACTTTAGAATGGTAATGTATATACTGTATAAAAAGACTGAAGACGCAATACCAATAATTTCCTACTTTGTCTCTTTGTGGTTCAGACATGTGAAGGGGAGAGTTTTGGTTGCATTAGCTGATGGAACTCTTGCAATCTTCCACAGAGCTGAAGGTTTGCTTCATCTTCCTAATGTTAAACCTATGAGAAAAAGGAAAAGAGTTATTTGTCAAAACTGTTTTGGTATAAATATTTTTCGTTCATGCATTTTATAATAACAAATGTGAAATGTAAACACAGATGGGCAATGGGATCTATCTAACTATCACCTAATGGATCTGGGAAGACCCCACCACTCCATCCGATGCATGGCTGTGGTTCATGACAAAGTCTGGTGTGGCAACAAGAACAAGATCCACGTGATCCAGCCCAAGAGCATGCAGATTGAGGCCAGTCTCAGATAGTGAATGTGATGTCCTCATTATAATCTTTGTCTTGGGACTTCATGTTATGTTTCTCTCTCCTTCATATAGAAATCATTTGACGCTCACCCACGCAAGGAGAGCCAGGTGAGGCAGCTGGCATGGATTGGTGATGGTGTCTGGGTTTCAATCCGCTTGGATTCTACGCTCCGCTTGTACCACGCTCTCACACATCAGCATCTGCAAGATGTGGATATCGAGCCTTACGTCAGCAAGATGCTGGGTAGCGCTTCTCACTTTGTTGCTCTTACTTTAACACTTCTGATTTATAGAGCTCTGTGTAGAGATTCGTTTAGAAGTAAGATTATATGTGTACTTAATTGCCTCCTCTTTGCAAAATTGTACTTTTATTTTATATTTTGTTTTATTTTAGCAATTTATTTATTTTTTTATTCTTATTTATTTAGCAATTTAACAGAAAATGTACACTAAAAACTATTTTAAGTGTATTAAAATAAGATTTTTAAAATGTAAACATATTAGTAATTTATTGTTCATTGTTCTATTTATTGATGGAATAATTTTGCCTAATATTTATCGAAGATCAGAAGTCGCAATATAAATGTTTTACGTTCTATGTTGTCTGTGATTGACAGGTACAGGAAAGTTGGGCTTCTCTTTTGTCAGGATAACTGCGCTGCTGATTGGAGGAAACCGATTGTGGGTGGGGACTGGAAATGGCGTTGTCATCTCAATCCCTCTGACTGAAAGTACGTCTAAGTGGTGTTTGTATGTACACATGCTTTAATGTTAACAAGGTCCTTGATCATCTGAACCATTTCCCTTTCCCTTCACTGATCAGCCAAAACAATTCTCTGTCATTGGTTTATGCTTGTTACTGATACTTTTGGTAGTCAGCCAACTTGCTCTTGCTCTTGCTCATTCTGAAGCTGGCTGACAAAGGAAGTCTTGCCGGTTAAGCTAGTTAAGAGGCTTGAATCTCACCATCCTTCAGTTCATTGCCACCACCCTGGGATTAACCTGCAAACTTTAATGTCATCATCCCAGATCATTAACCGCTAGGTCAACGTCCTCAATCCATTAATTACCCAACAAACCCTGTGCCTCCTCTTGTCGTCTCCTTCCTAGCTTTTCTCTTCCTTTTTCTCTATTATTCCACTACCCTCTTTCACTTTGTTTCATGGGTGTTGCTCTCTTGTCCTGCCTTGTTCCCCTTCCCACTTCCTCCTTCCTGTAGCCGTAGTGCTTCATCGAGGGCAGCTCCTCGGACTGAGGGGTAAGTGTGGAGCATTACAGCTGTCATTATTATCATGTCCCATCACACTTATTTTGGGTACTCCATGGTCTTCTTTCATTTACGTTTCATTGATTAATAAATGTGTTTTTTAAGTGTTTTTTGCATGTTTTGGTCATGAATGAATTATCTCTGTCCTTCTATCCTCATTATTTTGTTTAGTTCTTTTCAGTGTTATTTTATAGAGTGGAATGAAGAGTCATATAAATATATATGGATTTTCAGCAGCTCTTGGTACATACATATGTGACATGGTAACAGAAAGAATTTAAATAAGTAAAACTAAGGAAAATATAATGTGGTATACATCTGGAACAGAAGACTTAATATAAATCCACATATACAGTACATATTTATCAGGAAAACTAAAAATCAGTAATATAATAAAGTCAGTTATTTTTTCAACAAACTAAAAAAGTAAACACTTCAGTCTTCTTTCATTCACTCCATTGTTCAGTAGAATATTTCTGTCAGTGGTTTTAGAATGTTTTAATTATGAATGAATCATCCCTCTGTGCATTACAATCATCATGTTAATTATGTTTAATTTTTTTCACGTTTTTTGTGTGTCTATGAATATCTGTGGATATTTTTGCATGCTTTGATCTGTTTATAACAGCAGATTTGTTTATTTAAGCATTTGTAGTCCCTGTGAGTTTCTGTAATTGGTTGTTACGCTTTCTGATTGGCGGCTTGTGTTCCCTTGCAGCCAATAAGGTGTCGCCCACGTCGTCGGGGGGCGTGATCCATGTATATGCAGATGACAGTAACTCTGAGAAGAGTAGCTTCATACCATACTGCTCTATGGCACAGGCTCAACTCTGTTTTCATGGACACAGAGATGCCGTCAAATTCTTCGTGTCAGTGCCAGGTTAGTGTCAATTTTAAATATTTGAGAATATATATATATATTCAAAAAAATTTTCTTACAGTGACATGCATGCATCTCATCTGTCGTTTTCAGGCGATGTGTTGGCCACCCTGAATGGTAGCGTGTTAGACAGTCCGTCAGAGTCTCAGGGGTCCTCAGCCCCGACAGACACAGAAGCACAGAGTGTTCAGAACGTGCTGGTGCTGAGTGGAGGAGAGGGTTATATCGACTTCCGTATCGGTGAGAAACAACTAACACACTAAATGAGCATGTTTGTTTGGTCATATATAACCATTAATAGCATTTCCTCATTATCTTTCTCAGGTGACGGTGAAGATGAGACAGAGGAAGCAGATGGTGAAGCTCCTCAGATGAAGCCAGCGTTGTCTAAAGCAGAGAGGAGTCATATCATCGTGTGGCAGGTGTCTTATGGTCCGGAGTGACATGAACAGACACCTCCTGCCTGCCCCCCTTTCCGCCCTATAAGTCCGCCCCCAAAGATGAAGTATGAATCCTTTCTGTAACTACGCCCCGAATACTGTACCTAAGCTATGTAACTACCACGGCCTTGTAACTACCCCTTTAAAGTCTTATATTGACCCAGTTTGCCTGTATTTTCCTACCCTCAATTATAACTAGCTGTACGATCCTTCAATCTACCTTGTAACGTTCCCTTCCCAACAAAAAAACACACAAAGTTCAAGAACCTCCTGCATCTTATGACTGAATGGCAATTTCAGATGAAATATAAACAGCTTAAACAAGTACCAAACTACGTTCCTGAAAGAACTACCCATTTTTGCCAAATACCCTGACCTTTATATTTACAGTCCGTCAGCACACAGCTCACTGAACGACAGGAATTTGCCATGAACTCAAGTGACTTCAGAGATGAGAGGAATCATTTTTCTAGATGTGTAATGGAATACAAGAGGGAAAACGCAAAAGAGACCTCAATATGTAAATACTGGATTGCAGCATGGACTGCAGAGAGAAATAAGAGTGAATATTTGATGATTTGTCAGGATTTGTTGGCAATGTAGCACAACCCAAACGTCCCAATGCTATTTCAACTCATTATTAAGTACTTATGTAAAAGAATATTTAACAAAACTGATTTAAACAGCTCAAAATCCCTTCAACCATTTGCAGCTATCCATTTTCCATTCTCAGTGAGATGTGTGCTGACTAGCTCTACTAACTTCCCTCTGGGATTAAGAATGAGGTTAACAGCTAAACCGAAGCCTTCGATTGGACGAGGTTTGAAAGAGATGGATGTCCCATTCGCATTGTATGTAAATCATCACTCTGTGTTCTCTGCGTGGTTAAGTATTAAGAAATAAACATGTTTATGTGCTGAATACTTCTGCCTTCAGTGCCATAATTTGTTGAAATGCTGTCAAGTCTTCATAGTATTTTCTTTGAATTAGTAGGTAGAGCAATACTTTATACACATTTTAAAAATATTTTAGTGGAAAATACACCATTATTTTTTTTTCTTTGAAGGAAAATAATAGCTTTATTCAAAAATGCATTGATCAATGCTGAGCTAAACTAAAATACACTAGTAATGCTACAAAAGATTTCTATTTCAAATAAACCCTTCTTTTGAACTCTATTTATCAAAGAATCCTGAAAAAAAAAAAGATTTTCACATTAAATCAACATATTAGAATGATTTCTGAAGGATCATGACTGCTGATTTCAGCTTTGAAATCACTGGAATAAATGTATTTCTATAATATATTAAAAAGATTTTAAGATGTTACTATTTTGACTGTATTTGATCAACTAAATGCAGCCTTAATACGCTATGAGACATACTTTTTTCTAACATTTAAAAATCTTAGCAAACCCAAACTTTTGTATAGTTTACACAAAATAATACATACAAAGACAAATGAACAAAGGAATAATTTATTTGTAAAGTAAGGCGCCCTTTGGTCAGCTGAGTTCCAAGCACTAGAGTAAGACAAAGCATTGCTGGGATATTCAAGTCAGTTTTTTTGAGAGCATGCTGGCTCTTTATCATTCATTATTGCTTTCCTTTTGAGTCATGATTAATACATGTATTTTACAGAGTGCATCAAGATGACAAGAAGCATTTCCATATCAAAAGTTGGATGTAAAAATGTAAACAACATCTTTCAAGTGGATGTAAACACCTCAAATAAAAGTAGTGCATGACTTACCAACCTACTAAAGATTAGTAATGAAGTGAATATCTGTGAAGATTAAACATTTGCAAAGAAAGCAGTAAGAAAACCATTACATTCCAGATAGCTTGACCAATAACTGGATTTCAGGGAATTCAAACAGATGCAGGTTACTCTGTCAACATACCTAGCTAGCTTTTCCTTTTTATTGTTTTGGTCACTTTATGGCTTGTAAGGAGCAGATGAAGCTGCAGAAGCTGTATTGAATGAAGACTGCGTGAGTGTTATATGATGGGTTTCAAGCATAGATCCAGCGCTCATTGCACTCTTCCCAGCAGAACAACTCGTGATGCTTGAACCACAGTGAAATCTCTCTCTGAGCACTTTCAACTGAATCACTGCCATGAATCACATTCCTGCACAACATGGGGGAAAAAAAACAATTTAACAAGCATTCATGTAAATACAGTTATAGATAAATTCATGCAACGCAGTCGTGTCAATGAATAATACTTCAAATCTATATACCATGAGGAAATATTTACTTTGAAACAACTTACTACTGCTAATAATTTCACAAATAATTACAAAAAACATTGAATTTAACATGAAATTTTAAAGCAGAAAGACTGAAATAGTATTTTCTTCAATCAACTTTTTTTTAAATTTACAACTTTTAACAATCTATCTATCTATCTATTGTTTAAAACACACAAACTAACCTGCCCACTTCAACACAATAGTCTCCTCTGATAGTGCCTGGGAGAGAGTCTGCTGGGTTTGTCTCTCCAAGCATCTTTCTGGCAGTCTTTACCACATCCAGCCCTTGCCATACCTTGATAAAGACATACAGATAGACACACATAAGTATGACATGCCATTACAAGTCTTAAGATGCAAAAATCATAGCAGCATAAATGCAGAACTCATATTTTGGAGGGTCTGTTCTCCTTACCATTGCAACAATGGGTCCAGAGCTCATGTATTTGACCAAGCCGCTGTAGAAAGGCTTCTCCCTCAGGTCCCTGTAGTGTTGTCTGAGTTCCTCCTCTGATGCCTACAGGCGTAAATGAATACATTAATGCCAATGATATATTCTCCAAGTAAATATAATGTGAAAGATGCTGCAGTGCTCTCACCTGCAGGAGCTTCATGCCGACCAGTTTGAAACCCTTGCGCTCGAAGCGGCGGATGATTTCACCGAGCAGCCTGCGCTGAACTCCGTCTGGCTTCACTGCGATGAACGTGCGCTCGTTTGTGCCGGTCCATCCTGCAATCAATGTCTGAGATTAAACTGTCCTCTTGACTGACTCTCAAAGACATTGCTTGTTTGTGTACAGAAGAACTTTAGTACACAGAAATAAAAAAAAACCCAGATCTGATTGGTACAAGTTATTATGTGTGGTATTCTAATTTATTACACATATCACATAAAAACACATTTGATTTGTAGAATTTAGTATCAGTGGTTTTCAAATTTATTACACAGTTCATTCTGATTGGTCAGTCACGGCATTTACATTTATTATTAATTACCGTTTCTTTCATAACTGTTCTTGCGGTCCAATTTAAACTTGAATATTTTATATATATATATATTTGGCCGAGATACAACTATTTGAAAATCTGGAATCTGAGGTGCAAAAAAAAAATATAATATGTGAGAAAATCGCCTTTAAAGTTGTCCAAATGAAGTTCTTAGCAATGCATATTACTAATCAAAAATAAAGTTTTGATATATATATAATAATCTAAATGTTGAGAAAATCGCCTTTAAAGTTGTCCAAATGAAGTTCTTAGCAATGCATATTACTAATCAAAAATAAAGTTTTGATATATATACGGTAGGAAATTTACAAAATATTTTCATGGAACGTGGTCTTTACTTAACATCCTAATGATTTTTGGCATCAAAGAAAACTCGATAATTTTGACCCAGGCAGTGTATTTGCTACAAATATACCAGTGTTACTTATGACTGGTTTTATGGTCCAGGGTCACATAAGTATTCGAGTAATAAGCGAGACACTTTAGCGAAACTATTCGCTTAAAACCCATTCAGTGTTACAAAGTTTATTTTGACTGACTGTACATAATCCCCAATAAAACGCCTAACAGATATATTATAATATGGTATATAAAAAAAATGAAAAATGTCAAAATAAATGTACACATTATTTGAAAACAGCATATGCCCTATTAATACCAAAGGAATAAACCTCTTAGTGCTCGCCACCTGTCTGCATAAGTCGCAAAAATAACCGACGCAATCAGAACGCATGTTCTAAATCAAATATATTATTTATATTTACATAAAGATAAATATGATTACACTTCTATAAAACCCATACAAAAGTAGTCGATATAACACCAGCGCGATCTTGTTCTATTCGAGGTCAATGCAATATCGTGTGCATTGAAGTGGCTTGAGGTGTCTTTGTAATAGCAGGTGCTCTTCTGCATACCTGATTCAATGATCCTGGCGTGTTTTGCCGCTAAATCCGCGAGCTCTTTTGTGTCAGACAACGACCTTTTAGAGCCCATTATTATGTGTGCAGCAGTCTCGCGCGGTGCAGCACACCAACTGACCAATCACGGGTGAGCACTGCGCAGGAAAACACTCAAGAACCAATCAGAGCAACGCAAACGGCACTATTAATAGGATCTAGCTAAGAACAGAGTCTGAGAGAACGCGTTCTATTACCTGTTTTCTAAATATTATTATTATCATTTTTAAGGTTATGTATATTCAGGGCTGGGAACAATCACAAAATGTTATTCGTTAGCAGCGCAGACTGGGACCCAAGACACATTTCTAGGTGGTAACCTACTTAGGGAGATGAATGACGTGAATGGGCCGCATGTGTTAAAGCGAAATGCTTTGCATTGTAACGTTAATGCATGTTGCGGTAACTTCGTATGCTTTAGCTCTGAAACACAGTACAGTCTCGCCTAAAACGTGGCCGTTTGGGCGTACACACGTAGCGCCGTAACTTGTGCATCAGGCTAGCAAACAATAACTCGCGAGATGAAGTAAACTGAGACGCAGACATGAGGACCGCTCGAGTCGCTCCGTCACTTGAAACTGAATCAGCATACGAACGGCTAAATTTCACCTAAGGCGCTACTTACCAGTCTTGAAAATGTTCGCAAATATCGTTAAGCAAAGTATGATCATCTTTGCAGTCCAAAGCGGCGGCTGCCTCTCAAGAGTTTCGGGAGAGAGAGAGGGAGTGGCGCTAGGTGACATGCGCGTGCGTGTCTTATTTTGCATGTCCGCACCCGTTTTTATACAGTCTATGGTCCGCACTAGTTAGGCAACATCTTGAAAACACCCCGTATGCATATAATTCTTCGATTAATGTACACATTGAGGGGAAAAAAGAAACATTACTCCAGGGGGGAAAAATAATCACAAAAAAGTCGAAATCAAAAAACACCCTTCATATATCAACAAACTGTGCAGAAAATAAAAATAAAATTAAAAGCAAGGAAGAATAAAAAAAATAAATAAATAAAATAAAAAAATAAAAAAAATATATATATATATTATGTAATAGTAATATAAGTTTAAATAGCATTATTTATATATCAGTTTTAGTGAGATGCTTTGTTGCTTGAAATATATAAATAAAATAAAAAAATAAAAAATATATATATATATATACACACACACTACAGAAATTGATCCAAAGTCCGAGTTGGAAACACATTGAAAAATGTTTTGTCTTTTTTTGTCAAGTTTTGGAATATTTGTCCGCTCCCCAAATTTGTCACTACCAAAACACAGTAATAATAATTTAATTAGAAGGGTTATATTGACCTATTAAGATTTTGCTTACATCTATTTTATTAAAACATTTTCAGAGGTGAATCAATAATTAAATTTTTTACAATATTTCAAGTGTGATATATGAGATTTGAATTTTTCTTTGTAACAGGCAAAAAGTTGATCATACTGATTTCAAAGTTAAGGATTCATTAGTTTGAAAATACACTGAACCAAAAACTATCAAAACATCTTAGCTGATAATTCCGTATACTTTATTTTTGACAGTGACAGCGGTAGTGACAGCACATTTTCGGTAGTGACGGTAATGCTTTGGTAGCGACCGCATCACATTACAGAATTTTAACTCACATACAAAGACTAATAAAACATACTAAAATACAAAAAAAATTGCACAACTCTACTAAAATTGTT